GGGGGGGGGGGGGGGGGGGGGGGGGGGGGGGGGGGGGGGGGGGGGGGGGGGGGGGGGGGGGGGGGGGGGGGGGGGGGGGGGGGGGGGGGGGGGGGGTTGAGGAGAAGGGTACCCGCCCTCTCTTTCCCACCCCCCCCCTGCCCAAGCGGAGTTTTCAGGGAGGCATCGTGGGGGTACTGGTGTAGTATTGGGAGCGCCACCTTATCCTGCGGCAAACGTCCCGGACGATGAAGTCTGGACGCCTCGTTGATTTGCGTTTCAACTTCATACTCCACGACAGACTCGAGCGTTGCAGTCTGCTTCAATCCTCCCTCATCTCATCACACCACAATCACCCGACCTTTCCTGGGGTGTTTTATTTGGCCTCATGAACGTGCCTCATTCCTACCGGTAAATTGTTTGCCGCCGCCATTTCATTCCAACGGAAACCCCCAGCAGCCGATTTCCTTTCCTACACCCGGCCACCATTTGTTGCCGTTCCCTCAAGGAACGTCAACGTCCCTTCAACCCACCCCTACGCTTGCCGCTTCCGCACAGGCGAAACGCCTTTTCGCACACGTCCTACGGCTCGCCGGCACAGACCCCGTCTTCGAGGTGGCTCAGCGGCCGACCCTCCTCCGGGGCTAGCACAACAACCATGGGCCTCTTCGGCCTCGGCGCTCCAGAGATCGCTGTGTGCATTGCCGTCGCCGCGCTCATCCTCGGTCCCGATAAGATGGCCGGTGAGATAAGTAACTCACCCCCGAGTAGAGCGTTGTTTTCCGCAGGCCCCCTCTGTCTTCTCATCATGTTATCATGCACGCGGTTTTGTCGGCTAGCGGCTGTTTTGTGTAGAGTTCTGATTGGGTTGATGCTGCTGTTGTTCTCGATGTAGGGGTCATGATGTGGTGGACCTACAGTACCTCGGAATTGTTTTGGCATGGCGTTCGAAGAAAGGCTCCGTGTGTTGACCCTGTACTGCTGTATTCACCTCGTTAAAGCCACGATGCTTCCCGTCGTGTTTAATGGGGTTTTGCCTTTGAGAGGGAAGACACTCGGGTCGGCAGAAACAGCGATCAGATGGTCGCGATCACGAGGGTCGAGTCTGCCGAGTGTTGAAAAGATCTCGGTTGTGTTGCCCAATTCGTTGCAGTGCTTCGGCGACGTGCTTGTTTTCTTCTACATCTGTCCGGTCTGGTTGTGTCTGCTGTTGTCGCCCTCAAAACTTTACCAGGCTTCGCGAAGGACATGGGGAAGATGGCGGGGGAGCTGAAGGACGTGCCAAAGGAGTTCCAGGTCCGTCCTCTTTTTTCCGCAGAGAATTATTTGAGCCCCCCCCCTCCGGTGTTTGCCGTCGGGGTTGGGTTTTCGTCGGTTGGCAACGACGTTGTAAAACAAGCCGCCCCCCCCGGTGTTTGCCATTGGGATTGGGTTTTCGTCGCTTGGGAACGACGTTGTAAAACAAGCCAATTCACTGCGTGAACTCGGCAACCAGGTTACCGTTTTTTTTTTTTTTACCTCCGGTTTTTTTTTTTGGCGGTAACCATGATGGTGGTCGAGTAGATCATGTTGTGCGGGGTGGAGAACCCTCATTCAGTGCAAGGGGGATGATCGCACCACGTTGTGTTAAAATGGTCAAGCACTCTCGAGGCAGTTACCCAGTGCTTATAACTGTCTCTGGAAGTGAAAGCACCAGAAAGTAAATTAAGTCATCCGCAGCTGTCATTCGTACGCAAGGAAGTAGGCAC